ACACACACACACACACACATACATTCTATGCATTTATCATCCACAGAGACCCAATTTCACTCAGAAGACTGAGTGACATGAACAAAATTCTTTTGAGTTCTGGCACAGAGGATTTGGCCCCACTCATGGTGTCATAGTATGTTAAGGGGTTGGAATGTTGCTTAGAGACTGTCCAGCCCCAACCCCTGCCCTGGGCAGGGACACCTCCCACCAGAGCAGGTTGCTCACGGCTTTATCCAACCTGGATTTGAATATTGCTGGGGTTGGGACATCCACCACCTCTCTGGGCAACCTGTGCCAGTGTCTCATCACCCTCACAGGCAAAAACTTCTTCCTAGCATCTCACCTAAATTTCCTCTCTTTCAATTTATCCCCATTACACTCCCAGTGTGCTCCCCAGGTATGACACACCTGACTGCAAGTTTCCTCTTCTTGAGGTATGAAATGATAGCACAGGAGAGTGGTAAAATTTACCAAAGGAAACATCTGGCAGTATTAACCACAAAAATGTTTGTAGGAACTCCCTTCATACATAGCATTCATGATGCCAGCACAAATACAGATGCTGTGTGTCTTCTGGGGATCCAATGTTCTTGAAGGATAAGTAACTTTTGTATAGCTCTGAACACAGCTTAGCATGCTCAGAGGGAAAATAACCCAGAAAAAATAAACCTAAAACTTCTCTGGAAGTATCTTATTTGCTGACCCTGCAATGCATTTCATCTGGGTTTGGAAAATCAGATGTTTAAATGCCTACAAAACAAAAAAGAAGGCATTTCCATACCAGGATAAAAAAATAGAAATAAATAAATCAATAAACAGTGTGATCTGAAGAAAAAAGTATGCTAGAAGATAAAAAAAAGCCCCAAACCAACTGAAAAACCCAAGTCCATTAAGCTATTGAAAAAGAAAACTAATTCTTGGCAGAAAGAAAGCAGTAAGCTGCCTAAAATCCACTATTCTGAATCTGGGTTTGCTTGAGCTTATTTGCTCTTGTTTTTGTTTGTTTGGGGCTTTTTTAGATATATATTCAGGATAATATTTCCTGGTTCATGAGAAGCAGTAGTATCTTCCTCTTCCCTCCCCACCATTTACCCTAGAATAAACTGTTAAGGCAAAGAAGTGAGTTTAAAGGAGGAGTGAAAACAAAAGTGCAGGTTCTATTTTAATGTCTTTATGGGCTCCAAAACCACAGCAAAGAGCACCAGTTTGGAGCTGTGATCATAAATATACATTCCTACCTAAAAAGGTTACAGATGGTTGAATACATTACATGGCAGAAAAATCATACTTCCAACATCAACAGAATCCTGATCCTCCCTGACCCTGTTTTCAGCCCCAAACCTTGCAATTTCTTGTTTGCTACATTTGACAAAAAATTACCCTGTTAAGCATCACAAATGCATAATCAAACATGGATTTGACGATTTATTTTCCAAAAAGAAGTGACTTTCACCATTAGGTATAAGCACAAAGATTGTTCTCTCCCCTTCTCTTCGGTCTGACAGAGAACTGTGACTCTATACAGTCTCAAATAAACACCTTTGGCTTTTAACTGGACACGTTTTGATCAATGAGGGACCCACCTGTGCCAGTCTGAATGGATTATCTCTGCCATATGACAAACTCTGTGCAGGAGATTGGTCTGAAACACCAATAATATTGAGTCCTTTCCTCTTCTCTCTCAGGCAAGCTTGTTGGTGTCTCTTTATTCTTTCCATCTGCTCCTCCACAGTCATTCGAGGCCGTGAGCTTTCTGCAAGGCACAGCTGCTCCACTGCACTTCTTGGTCTTTCCTTCAATGGAAGAAAAAAAATATATATGTGTTTTAAAAAGGATTCCAAACTGCTGACTTATCAGAAGAGATCACCTAGTGATTTACTAAAGAGCAGAAAAATAGTAGGCAAATAAAGACCTCCTAAGTATGTGAGAAAAGTCCAAGAACCAATTACTAATAAATGAAGAATGAAATTTAAAATGAAAGGAAGGAATAATTTGCTTTTTTTGAGCAGTAACATTACCATAATCAATGGCAAACATTAAGAGAATGGGTAGGTGCCCTCTTCAAGCCTTCTCTCAAGCTGAAACAATTTACCAGGCGTTATACAAGTGGCAAACACAAGTTACTTGACTGAGACAGAAACATAATTGAAATTTAATGAGCCAGGACATTTATACCAGTTGATCTAATAGTGATTTCTGCCTTTTTATTTCAAGAAAAACTACAGCTGGGCATCATTGAACAGCAAGTGCAGGCCGAAGCTCAGGGAATTTATCGCCACTTAAAAATCTGTAACTCTACCTATTATATTTTCCCCCAAAATAACAACCATCACTACTCTGTTCTTGACATTCACTGATTTTCAGGCAGATCTGTACTTTGTATGACAGATAAAAATTGACTTCAGACTAATCAGCTGCATTCAGTATGTTCACAGTAACTGATTTCACTTCTAATTTCACTTCACTTTCTCCAGTCAACATCCTTAAGCTTCTCTCTCCTCTCCCATTCTTCCTACAACTTCTATTCATGATGGAACTATGGCAAAAGTTTTCCTCCCGTTTCAAGAACCACATGTAAATGTCTGTCTTGAACCCAGAGACTACTGAACTCTCCAGTCTGCAATCCCAGGTTTATTCCCTCCATATTGCTTCCTGTATCCTTATTTTTTGGCTGCTTTAACTATTTCCCAAATCACTGTAGCAATGAAAGAAATAAAAGCCAGTATTTGTTATATATAAAGGGCTGTTAAATTGCCAAACACAAGGCCTTCAAGGATGCTTCACATCCTTTCAACTCAAGCCTGAACTTCAGCAGCTTGGTAGATTTATCATTACCATTTAGTTCTTGCCCAGTTTGTCTTCATGCAGTTAAACATGTATGACAAAATTCTGTTATTCTTCCTACAGCTGCCTCCATTAATGTAGTGTGTTATGCTTTAATGACAGTGATTTATTTTGTAAAGAAAATGAAAAAGATAACCTAAACTTTGGAATAGACACATCACTATGCATCAAGGCTTGAAGGTTATTTCAAAGTACCGTTCTTAGGTCTATCTTCTTATTCTTCCTCAAAGTGACATAGGAAGCTATTGTTGAAGACTCTGGCATTGGGGATTTGGTTCTGGGTGGTACAACTCCCACAGGAAAATGTGAGCCTGCAAAACAGCAAAGCAACATCCTAAGTGTTGTGCAAAACACAGCCAAGGTTGTGGATTGTTTTCTAGAAAACACATGTCAGCCCTGGGAACTCTTCTCCAACAGACAGCAAAAGTGATATTCAGCTTCTCCTAACCATATCCACCATCACTCCTGCTACTTAGAAAAGTTCTGCCAAAATAGCAAAATAAGCTGAGTGAAAACTGAAGTTAAAACTACAAACTACACAGATATAATTAAATAATGCTTCCTTTCTGTATCTTGATACATGCAGGAAATAAAACTATGAGAAATATTGTTTCCCTGCTGATTTTGCCTAAAAAAACTAGGTATGTCTTCTTTGATAATCAAATTATTTCTCCTTGCTTTTCCTGGGGTTGCACAGATTTTAGAGGATATATTGATTCAGTGAAGACTCAACTCTTTCTCCACGTTGTGTGATAGACTACAAAACAGTCTGGAGGTATCTGACTATGAGTGAAATCCATCACTTAATGCAAAAATTGTGTATCCTTTAGACATAAAAAGAATAAAACACAGCAGAAGTCCATTTTCTTTTTCTGTCAGGTTAATATACTACAGAAGTCATAAATACTCCTCTGATCTCAGACAGCTGTAAGAGTTACTTCACATAGATTCCTTTTCAGCTTAAAAACTCTTAAGACAGAATGGCATGAAATGTTTGTTCAAAGAGCATATAGCTGTCACGGCATATACACTATAAACCCCCCAAACAATCAGAAATGGTTACATTTTTATCACTGCATGGGGATTGTTATTATGAGTGAATGCCCAGAACAAGAAATATCTGCCAGAAAATTCCTATGCTCAAAGGTGTGGACTGGGTGAGAAAACACAGCTATGAGAGACAATGCAATGAAGTTAAGAATATACAAAGCCTCTCCCTGTTTGCTGCTTTCCCTGACTAAGGAAACTGTTTGTCTACAAATGGACATAATCAAATTAGTTCTTTAAGACATAAAGCACATTGGGGTGCTCAGAAAGTACTGGGTTACTTTACATAGTCAAGGTAGGATTTATTATAATTTTCTGATCATTATTTTCCCTCCTGTCATAAATTGCTATGAATAATCTGAAACCTCACAGGTCAATAAAACCTAGGCAAGTTCCTCAATTTAGGAAGCTGATGGTCAGCAAATCTCAGGCTAAACATTGCATTTTTCACCACCAAGTTAGCAGTAATTTAATATATATCTTAACATTATATCTCAGCAAATACCACAGTGAATCTGAATTGTCTAACTGTCTGGTAAGTACAAGTTTAATTATCTCACAGGGCCATACACATTGTTTACACCCAAACTCTATGCTAACCTGAGTGTTCCAAACCTCCATTTCCATTCTGATGAAAACAATATCCCTCTATGATCATAGTTCTTGGTCAAGTTCTGGCACTGTTGCATCAGGCTGCTATGTAACTGCTTAGGCAAACTACCACAAGAGAGGCAGAGATCCTGCTGGCACTGCAAATATCAACTGCTAGGTTAAAAAAAGCCCCTAAGTTTAGTTCCTTTTTCTCAAAGCTCTTAATATGGTTTTTGGGAGGCACTAAAGCTGAGCATTTTCCTGAAGTCACCTTTAACAAACTATTCTGTGTGTTTTAACAAACAGAATTGAGAAGCACTTCCTGGTAAAAGACTCTACCAAGCAATTAGTAGCTTTTATGGAAGCTAGATGAAGAGAAGAATCTAAAGCATTTAGCAATTGCAAAGACCTTTATTGTCTGTACACTCCAAGGTCATGATCATTATTCCTATTATATCAGAGGACAGGAGGCAATTCAACAATTACAAGATTAAAAAAAAAAAGAAAAAGACATTGTTTCCCTGCCTTAGGAGAGCCTGAAAATTCTGTGGTGCTGCCTTTCTGGACGTTCCAGGGACAGAACATCGGGAGCTTGATTCAAAAACTGAGTAATTGTTCAAGGGCAAGAACATAAAATGGGTAATTGTTCAAGGGAATGGTGTGTGGGGAATGTGAGTGATGTGATTAGACATGGTGTCAATAAGGATTTCAGGCTTGTTGCTGAGTGTAATGTTTGATTTTTCAGTGGTGGAATTGACCGAAATCTTTCTCGTCGTGTAATTAAATCATTATTTTATTGTGGGAGATGTTGTAGCAGAAGGAGAAATGGACATGCTACAAAGATCCAAACCAGGATGGAGCTCCTGTTAAGCTCTGTATCCCTTGGGAAAAAGCTGAAAGGCTGTAAACACCGAGCCCGGGGACAAACCTTTAGCACTAGACTCTGATTCTGAAATCTGGTCTGTTTTGTCTTCACCATTAGACTCATCCACTTCTGCCACTGTAGTTAGCTCTGGTTCGCTCTTATAAAGTCTATAATCAGGACCCTGAGGAACATAAGTCATGAGGTAAATAAACATGCATTTTTGTACAAGCATTTATGTCTTAAGACTCAGTTATTTTGTGATGATTCTGCTCTGACTTTAAGACAGTGCTCATTGTTCAAGTGCTATTGCAGAAGGATTTGCTTGTACTTCATTTCAGTAACAACATTTGCAGAATGAAATTACAGGAAAAACCTGGCATAAAAATGCAGAGATGTGGGGTTTCTTTTTCAAATGATCTTCAGGAAACAAACTGGTATAAGCTTCAGCACAAAAATGATTCTGACCCCAGGAGTTTTTTTAAGATCTAGTGAGCAGCAGAATCTTATTTTCTGACATTTACACAAAACCTTAAGTCTTGAGACATTTTATATATGCATGGAATATATGACAGGAAAATGTGAAGAGCAAATGATGCAGCTATAAATAAAACTAAATAAACCATGACACAAAAGTAGCTGGATGAGGAAATAAAAACTGTGACTGTGCAGAGGAAGGAGGATGCTGCAAGGACAACGTGGCAGTGTCAGCCACTTACACAGTAAGATCCATTTCTCTGATATCCTTGAACTTGGTAAATCTTCTTTTCTTCTGTCAGATGAACTGGGCCCCTGCTATAACAGAGCAAGGAGCTGCTATCACTGGGCAGAGGGGGGATTATGGGAGGATGCTCTGTAAAGTCATAGGACCGAGGGAGTGGAGGACGAGGTGGGACTACTTCCTCTTCCTAAAGATTGTAGAATAGTCACCTTGTTTAGATGTGCACACCTGTTACAATTATTTTATAACTTAAAAAGAAAAATAGATTACCATGGCTACAGCAGCTCTAGATTTTGGAATTAAAGGGACAATGTCACATTGAAAAAAATAACCCAAAGAACAACTTCTAACACCTGCACTTTCTGCTGGATATGTACAAACTCTCTAAATCATCCTTTCAAAAAAGTAAATTAATTAGCTTTTAAAAGATTTTTTTAGATAAATTAGACTCAAAGTTCTGTAAGTCAGATGTATATTGCATATACTTTATAAAGCCATGACAATGTCCCTTTAAAACTGTAACTTCTAGCCAGATTTTCAGAGGAATGGAACATCTGGGAGCTCCCACAGTTTCAGCTCTTCTTGTGGGTGCTCTGGCCATCTGAGAACCAGGCTCAATGTTTGAATAGACACACAAAGCAATGTATTTCTTCCCATGAGAAGTGTGGTGGGTAGAAAACAAATCCATAAATCAAGGTTTACATTTCTACGGTAAGAGCCTAGGGAGAGGAAAAGGTGAGAAATGGAAAAGAGAAACATACCAGTGAAAATAGAAAGACACAGAACAAATGAAAGTGTTAGAATTACTAGTGGAGATATCAGTCTTTAAAACTAGTTCATAATGCAATATTTTCACAGGAACATACCAAATACAGACAACCTTAAAGTATTTAAGAGAATGTACATTTTTATCATAGCTATATGACAAATTCAGCCATACTAAAATAGGAAAGATGCTAAAACCATACCTCATTTTTATATTTAATAGATGAAAATGTTCTTGATACCATGATGCCTGTTTGGGAGCAGGGGGAAAGGTGCAGGGAGAAAAAGAAGAGAAAAATTGTTTTTCAATAAACAGCTTTTCAAATATGAACTACAACCTGTTGCTATCAAACAAATTACACAAAGCACCAACTAAAACTAGGTAATAAGCTTTTTTCTTTTCACAGTAATTGTACCATTTTTAAAACATACAAAAGCAACTATGGAGCTTATCCTTCAGCATCATAGATGATCCAATTTCATTTCCTGGGAGATAAAAATTTCAGTTTACCTGTCTCTGAAGAGCTTCTTTGCTGTTTGTGATTAAGTAAACCCTCCATGACATCCTGAATTTTCCACAGTTCCTTCTGAAGCTGAACACGCTGTATCCCTGCTGACTCAGTCTGCCAGTGAACAAACAGCATATACAGGCAATACATCAGAATACATTGCAAGAGTAAAAAAAAACAAACATGAAAAACCTTTTTCTTCCCTTAGACTACACTGCACATCCTTTCTCAAGGAAGGAAATAAAATGCAGTGATGACAGACACTCTCCTTTCCCATAAAAGTACAACATTCAAACACTGTCTGAAACAAAAGGATTAATTTCATAATGCATCAGTCAAATTGACAGCAATCTCCTAGTTCAACCTTCACTTAAAGAACAGAGTTGTATCTACTGTCTCCAAAGAAAATCCAAACAAATTTTGCCCAGGAGATCTACATACAACAATGGAAAATGTATCATCAGTTCCAACCCCACAACGGGTGGAGATAACACAGTGTTTGCACACTAACATATAAATCTATTTGCATTCATGGTCAGGAATACTTTGGACCACATACTGCAAATTTTTCAGCTCTTGGGCTTCCCCCGTAATCTCCTTTTTATAGCTGCAGAGCAAATCAATCCCTGGAGCAAAGAACCTTTAATGCTCACCACACCCATCTGCCTACAACAGATAACTGCACACCTCTATGTCCATGTCTGGATGAGCCACAGAAACTCTCTTTAGAAACACAGGGCCAGGAGTTGGGCTAGATGATCCTCAAGGGTCATTTCCCACAGAAACTCTCTTTAGAAACACAGGGCCAGGAGTTGGGCTAGATGATCCTCAAGCGTCCTTTCCCACTCAGTGGATTCTATGACTGTGGATTTATCCTAACTGTCCAGTTCTGCACAGCACAGTGAGTACTAAGAGACATGTCAGATCCTTCACTTGAAAGGCCTGAAGCAACACTCAGAATGTTTTCTGTAATAATTTGTTTTGATAGAATGACCTGATTACATTTGAAAATATTCAGTTAAATGGAATGGCTTGTGTGAAGATTTAATGACTGTCATAGCAACTAAAGTCTGAGAAAACCACCTCATTTCACACACCATTGTTGAGACAGAAAGAGGTTTCCAGGCACAGGAAGATGTGTGCTACAGCTTCAGAAAATAAGAAAAGCTGAAAACTTCTTCAGAACTTACAAGTTGTAAGAAGAAATTAAAAGTTTGTAAGCTAATGCACCACATTTTTTTCATGTGTATAGTTTTTAAAAAAACTCATGGAAAATCCAAGTGAATTAAGTGTATTTTAAGATCAATGCCACACCTGAATTTCTCTAAGTCGATCCAGTTGCTCCTGCATATGGTTCCTTGTTACAGTTACATCATACTCCAATTTATCATATTCTCTCCAAGCTCTTTCCAGTTCCTAAGTAGATAATAAAAGTAAAGAATCACAGATGTACATTCAAATAAAAAAATATAAGTATATTTATTTTTCTTTTCACACTGGCAACTTCAGGAAGCAATGCACTAACAGATATCAGCAATAAATATGTAATTTAGAGAACGTAATGTTTAAACAGCTTTTTGATTTTCTAATGATGCTGAATGGAACTCAAACAAACAGCATTTTGTCTTTTCACACACAGGCAAGGGCAAAGTCTTCAGAATATGCCTTTATAGTCAGCAGGCATGTGGGTCTTAAGCTGTCTTTCCAGTGAGGCAGAAAACCCACAGAAATGGATGCAAATTTGCCTCTTTTATCACACAGAATACATATGTGTGAGTGCACAGCATGTGTGTGCATATGCAATGCATTATGCAAGACAAATGTAAGTCATCCAGCCCTGCCTGAGAGGCTGCCAGGGACTGCCCCAGGCCTGCTAACACCACTGGTTTACATATGGCAAACTACAAATACCAGAAGGAAAAGGTGAGAAAAAAAAAAAAAAAAAGTAAAAAAATTCTTCTTTGAGGTCAGCTCTGCCATCTCACTCTTGCAGCCTACATCAAGCAATCTACCCAATTTAGCATAAATTAAAAAGTTAATGAGGGAAAGTGTACCTTGAGGATTTCCTTTCCCCTGGTTCTCTTGTCCTTGTCCAACCAATTCCTTTGACAAGTCAGTCTAATATTCAGACTAAAACCAGTATTTCAGGGCCTACATTATATCAATTTCACCACAGTAACCACTGGAATTTGACACTAAAATACCTTCTTGGACGTATATGTAAGTAGGCAAAAATTATTCTTTGCATTCTCATTTCCACATAGTGGAAAAGGAAATAGCAAATAACAAAAAGTAAATAGCCATTTCCTTATTTCCCTTTTTTTTTTAAAGGTTTTTGAAAGTGCATAACTTGAAAGATCTTTTAACTATAATGGCCCCCTATTAGGAGAGACCATGACAGTGTATATTTTAATTTCATTCTGTAGCTGCTTCTGCTTAAAATAAGTCACTTATCTGTTCCAATAAAGTTTGTGCTTGCCACTATTTTGCCATCACATGAAATAGCTTATTTGCAGTATTTTCTACTTCTGTAATCAATTTTTCCTATTATAAAGCTGATAATTACCACACCAATAAATCAGTGTGCACTCACTCCTGGCTAAAAAACCTCAACAAAAATTAAAAGACTAGTTGATGATCAGAGTGAAAAGATCACTTTCCATCTGCCTTTGACAAAAACCCAAACGAAAGACAACAAGAGTTTTGCTGCAATGTGATAAAAAAATCACCAAAGACAAGGCAATTAGGAACATGAACATAACATTTCACTGAGTTTCACAGGTAGGAAGGTGTTACTCACCGCAGTGGCTCGGGACACTTCCCGACACGTGCTAAGGAGTCCGTTCTGCAAGTCATCTCTCTGTAAGACTACATTCTGTATGGCTGCAGGATTGTCTGCATTCATTTCTATCTCCTGACTTGCTGATAGCAAAGCTTGCTCAAGCGTGTACTATTGTAATAAAAAGAATTATTTTTAATGTTCTGCATCATTGGGCTGATTTTCCTTTTATTTCACTTATCAATGTGCTGCTAATAAGCATGTAAAAAACATCCACTTTAGGTAATAAATACAATTGTCCTACTTTCTCCTTGTGTAGCTGTTGAAGCTTCTCCTCCAGTGCTTGTACAACTTTGTCTTGTTCACATAAACGGCTAAGCTTAGCCTAGCAGAGAACAGAAAATTATCACAATTAGCATTTTATTATTTACATCTACAGTAATCAAAATGCAACTTGGGCAAATCATTACACGAATCTATAGGAAAGGTTATTAAAATACGAGTTCTGAAATGATGAAGGCAATTTCAAGTTACTTAAGAAACTGAATTGTTATTATTACAGAATGGCTCAAAACATGTAATTTAGGATTCTATAGCTAAATCTTTGCAACTTAATAACAGGAATTAAATACCTTTATTATTTACATACTGCTCAGTATTGTAAAGACTATCAAATACACTCACAGTCTGTCCCGTGATGGTTCAGGTGATAATTTTCCATAGTTTGCTACTAGTCCTATCCATACTCTGTTTTAGCTCTGATCAAGGCTTGGTTGTGACTAAAACTGCTCCACTCCAGCTCCAGTTTGAGCAAATAACTCTTCAGTGCACTCTAATCAATTTGAAACAGTTTACTTTTCTATTTGAAAAACATTTTTGGTTCAGCTTGTGCTGCATTGACTTTTTACCATAACACTAGAACCTGTTTTCTCTTTTACTCTTAAAAGAACATCCCTTAAATCATTATGTCTAGTCCTAGTTGCACTGGGCAAGAATGAGTAGACATGCACATGTATCTATGTGGAGTGTGTGTATATTCCACCATCAATTTTACACCAGACTCCTTTTCTTCACTAACTAACAACCCAATACATGCCAAATGTCAGTTTGGAAGTATTGGTCATATTTCCAGAGAAATGACATCTCTCACGTTTAGATTGGAATTGTAACAACAGAGTTTTTCACTTCTACAGTAATTAATTCCTTTCTAGAAGATATTCACCTTTTAACAGTTATAATACTGGAAATTTCAGCCTATAATGTAGGATTTCCTGCAAGTTAGAAACTTATTACATTTATGCCCCTCAATTTCACAATGCATTTTCTGTTGGCAATCACCTGTAGGAAGTGAGTTTCAAACCCAAAAAGCCAAAGGGGAAATGGTTATCAAAATAAAGAGACAAATACCAACATTTCCAAGGAAGAAGAAATATGAATGACTTACATCAATATCCAGCTCTTCAGTTCTATATTTGTATAGTGTACCCCTACATTCTTCTTGTGTTAACTATAAGGAAGAATAATATTGCCATAAAACAACTTAATTGGACTATGAAAATGAAAACTACTGTTCAGCTTAAGTTTTAACACAGAAATCAGCTTTTGCTGCAAACATACCACACTGAACAATCTATTTTTAGCCAAAATATATTAATGAAGGCAAGAAAATGGAATGTCAGGCAGACTGTCAGGAGGAAGTTGCATTAACTTAACAGGCTATGTTTTTAATGCAAACTGGAGTTTTAGAGATGTACAACTAACTCCACCAAACATGGATTATGGAGGAAGATGAAATTGCCAGAGTACACCCAGACACAGTTACAGTCACTAGTTAAGATTTCTCATGTGCATTCTAAAGACAGGGGCTGATTCTGCTTGGAATTAACCATTCCAGCCCCACTGAGCTCAGGGGTTTGCACAAGGAGGATATTTTGACATGAATATGAAACCAGAACAGAATGATTTAAGTTGACAACATATATGTAAAATATCTCATTATAGACATATGCCCATTAAGTGCCACAAATACTTCTCTACCTACTTTTCCATACGGATTCCCTCCTCTCCAGAAATGCCATAAATAGAAACCCTTCTATTTTCTCTTTGCACTAGGTAAACTTGTCTCCTTGTGCCAGTCTGGATGCAAAGTATCCTCAGATAACTTTCATACAGCTCCTCACATTAAGGTCTTAACTCTTTCAGTCTGCTACTGGCCAGTGACAAGATTTTAAGGTATTTTGCAAGAAAAAAAGGTAGTTCCCCACTTTAGAATGGAACTACTTAATGTCTTATACAGCAAATATGGACATAACAGTCTAAAACTTTGTATTCCACTTAATCAAGAACATTGTGTGTGAGCTGAGCCCCAACACAGATGCTTTCCTTCCATATATCTGTCCTAATTAGGTCCTTGTGACTTAATAGTACAAGAAAGACTATAAAAACACAAGTCCATGTCAAAGGACACTTATAAATAAAAGGACTAGGGAAGGGTTAATCAGACGAGCATTCCAAACATAAAATAAATCTTCAACACACTAAAGTGTTTCATTTCAAGATATTATGTCCACATACCTCATGCAAATGCACCTGGTGACAATTTAAAAGTATGTATAGTGTATTAAAAACACACAGTTAATTTTATTTGAAATGGACATTTTATGAAAATGAAGGTTGGAATATGAAAAAAGCCACAGCACTTTTTGCACCTCATGAATGTCACACAAATTAAGATATCTGTTTAAACTCCTGCTATTGTAGAGTTGTGTTGGTTTACTGTCGATTTTAGCACAATGAGAGAAAAATGAGGAATGGAAATATTTAAAAGAAACAACTCATAAACATGGCCAAATGTGTCTGACTTACAGAGAAAACCTAGTTGGATTTCACAACAGAAATATTTTACACAAAAAATATTATCCCCTGTTAGATAAATACAGCTTCCAAGTCACTGCTCAGCATTTTATATGGCTTGGCTGGAAAAATGTGAAGTTATTTTGTCAAGCCAGTATTTTTTACACTTTTTATAGGTTTTTTTTCTAAAAGAGAGACATGTATTATTTGGGGCATTTTAACCTTCATTATAGCCAAGTGTAAAACAGTTTGCCAATTCAACATCCTTTATCCCTACCTACCTCCTGAAAGGAATATATCTTAAGTATTCAGCAAATGAAAACACATTTCCAAAGAACACTAAACATGTGCTAATTCTTAATAAAATCCTATCACACTCTTAACATTGCTGCCAACTTCTTGCTTTTGTCAGCAGTACTAGCTCCCCACAACAGGCACTGCTGGAGAGACACTTCATTTCAACATTTCTACTGCGACATTTTACACAGACTTAGCACAAAACCTCCCAGAATAAGATGAATAACTCAATCCATCTCTAACAAAACACTTTTCACAGCACATCAGCGGATGCTCAAGGCAAGAAGTGCGGAATGCTATCGCATCCTGCTGGAATCACCAGAGGAACTGCACCAGACAAAACGCAATTACACATTACGAGCAAGGTTAACACCCTCATAACCCTGGAAAACGCATTAGAAGAGCTCCAGTGCCCAAGTTATCAAAATGTACTTGATGTCACGTTCCACAAACGCCTCTCTGGCCAAATCCCTCCTGCAGCTCCTTGGCCAGGACAGCGATTCCAGAGCACGAGTGCCATCTACTGCAGCAGGGACACCTTCCCCTCCACTCTGCTCAAACACACCCCAGGGCACTGCTGTACAGCTCCCAGACCCCAGGGAGCAGCACCCTGACACCTACAGACACAGCCTGCCCCTTCTGACACACAAACTCTGCACACAGTTTGGCCAAAGGTGCATCTCGTGTGGGGCAAAGTAACATGACCTTCATTGAACCAACACCTTAGGTTAGAAATACTCTGTCATCTGCTGTACAGTCTCACCCATGTCACACTCCAATACCACACCAAGCACTGAAGTAGGTTTATAGTGGATTTGTATCCCCCACGATGGACACAATGTCAGATGTGCATGAGACATCAGGGGTTAAACTTACTTAAGCAGTTGATATTAAACACATTTAAGTGTCAGTATTATTTCAGTACCTTATAAGCTATTTTCAGATTCCACTAACTGTCTGGATTCAATACCTATATGGCAGGAAATTTCACACCCCAAAAGCACGCACTGCATCTCTGCAAGATACTGCACTTAGGAAATTAAATCAGCACATCTTGTGGGGAGCACAAGATTAAAGTCAAGACTTCCAAGAGGCTTTTTCATGATTATTTTTTCTTTTTAAAAATATTTCTTGCTACCAGGAAGAGGGCAGATAGACCCCACAGCAAGCAAGGCTCTCTCCTGATTTTGAATAACATGATATATAGCATTTCAAAGACAAAGTGGATAGACAAGAGTTCTTACCTCAAATATTGTGTGTGTAACAAAACCTGAACAATATTTCTGCCTACGAATCTCAAAATCCAACAAGCACAACAATTTAGATATATGCAGCTTCTATAACAATAATAAGCCATAACCAAGACATTCCTCATCCTAGGAATTAAGGGCTGTTTTTATATACTCTTAATGCATTAAGAACACTTATCCATGAAGGACCTGGATGTTAGCCTGGTGCACTGAGAGTTTCATTTTTCCCCCTTTAGGGAATGCATACATATAAGAGGCATTGAGGAAAATTTTACTTTGAAAAACCAGCCCATGCTGCTTTAGGAAACAAGATTAACACTCCTCACCTAGTATTAGAGGAAAAAAAAAGGCAGAAAAAAAAAGAGGGAGAAATGGCTTCAGTCTGTAAAAGCCTCTGGTTTTCTCCTCTGTACATATGGAATCATTTCCCTGGCTTGTACTTGTAAATTTGCAGTACAGTCTGCAGAGCAGACTGATGGGAGTAAAAGGGATTTAAATAACTGTGAGGATGCAGCAAATCACATACAAAATATCTTATAACACAGTAGATATTTTAGCTGTTTTCCTAAAGAACCAAATATAATTGGAAACAAACAGGAAGCAAAGTATCTTAGTTTTTTAATTAAATCCAAGCTTTTCTTGCTTTCCTTCACTGAAGTCTAAATGAGCTCAGTCATACAACTGACTGAATACACTGAAGGAAAGAAAGATCCTTTTCTCTATCCACGGGAATGGTTAAAGTCATCAGAAATTAGATTATCATCTTGACATCAGAACAGGTTTCAGTCACTTGCACAGAGGCTTCTCCCAATTGTCTACATCTCTTTAAAACTGCAGCAGGACAGATGACTCTTAAAACTGTTACTTAATTTGGATAAAAAAATTATATGCTGTTTAGACTTCAAATAACTTGTCAGAATTTTAAACAGGTTAGTTTTGCATTACAGAAGTTTAGAGGATTATTTAGACAGTGAAATTTTGAGTGTATTTTTATCCTTTCCTGAAAGTAAGTTTATGCAATGTCTCATATGGGAAAACTTCATGCATGAAAGCAGAAGATCTTGCTGTTCTTCAGGGTATGCAACAAACTGCCAACATGTCACAAACACTCTGACCTGGAGACCACATCTCCAGTGACAAGAGGTTATTCAGCTTCATGACCTGTTAGATTCACTGTTTCTTTGACAAGAATGTCAAAAAAAGGTGTTTATTCAGTGTCAAATAGGAAGCAGCAGGTATGTCTACAAGGTGAAGGTGTGTATTAATACCTCTGCTGGCAGCAGAGCTTTGTTGGGACAGTGCTTGGAAGTTTATTTGTATCCCTAAATACATGAGCAGATTAGCCCAGGCACAGCTATACCTCAAATGTATCTCTCTATATTAGAAGCTGAGCTCGTTTGCCCCAAGAGACCTAAAACATCTCTGTTCATTACACATACGTTGACTCATTTGCTTTACTCTGTCACATGAAATTGATTTGCTTTAAAAGGCTTCTTGAAAAATGAAAATAACCCCCCCCAAATGTCACTCAGGGCTTGAGGACACCTCACTTCTCCCACTCCTCTCCCAAAATAGTTCCTTCAGGTTCCATGTTGAAGCTCTTGGACTGCACATAGGAACACAAATTGGATGATCATGAAATCAGGCACTCACAACTCAACTTCCTTTGGAATCCTGAGGAGTTTTTCAGCAACTACTCTGGACCAGAAGCAACTCTACAACGTGGAGTTGACATGAAACAACTCCTTTGTCAGGACATGTTTGTTGCAGTTGAGGCAAGAAACTTCAACGTGCCCTGATGCACCACAGGCCATTCCGTTAAGCCCCAGCATCCCTAAGACACTGCAGTGCCAACAGATATGGATTGGCCATGCTCATAAGTTAATGCAGGTCTCAACTCACAGATAATATTTCCATTCACATTTCTGATTCTTCTTCCATCTTACCATTTCCAACCATCACTAGATACTCTGTAAGTGTGCACAGTTAAGTCTGCTGTGACTTTATGAACAGACACTGCCTTTTGGATTTACAGTCCCCAGATCAAAGTAATTTTGATCCTTTCTTTCTTCAGTGGCTAAAGGCTTGGGAGGTGCAAAGAAAAACTTGTAAATCCACTTCCTAGAACAAAACAGAATTGCCAGAAATGACCAGGTAAACACCACTCACATGCTTTTGTAGTGGTCAAAAGAAAGAAGCACCTTTGAACACTAATTGCAGAGGATCATGCTAAGACAAATGTTGGAAGCTTATTGGAAGTTTTATGAATTTACTGGACACCTGCATAAAACATCAACTAATTAAATTGTCTAGACAGAAAAAAAGCTCTTCCAAAGTGTACATTGAATACTAAACAACAAAAACGCAGCAGAAGCCATGCTAACGAGACTGCAGCATTTTAGAAAGCATGGATGACTTGTGGTTTTCCAAAGCAAAGAAGAAAAACACCAATGTCATGAAGGAATCTGAGGAACAACCAAAACTGTCACTAAGGCAACTTTTTTGCAGATGATAAAGCAATTTCATTCACTCTCCAAGACCTTACTTGCTGGTACAGTTGTGGTCTTAGCGCCGAGTTCTCAATCATAGTGTGAACCATGGTGATTAAAGGTTCATTCTCTTTCATCTATTTCAAATCAGGAGGAGCATACAGCAAACATCAGTTTACAGCATGGCTAGATTTGAAAGACGACACTGTAAAATATAGCCTCTACTTTAATTTTTTCTAATAATGCAGTAGATTACATTTCACCCCATGCTTTTTATATATTCCATCATTCAGTAATAGCAACAGCTGAAAAAGTTTAATAATATAGGAAAAAAGTTTAATAATGTATAGAAAAGTTTAATAATAGCAAACAAATCTATCAAAGCTAAACATAAACGCTCAAACCCAATGTCATATTTATTCAACAACACTCTCCCTTTTGAAAAATACAAGTGCTTAAAATAAGTTTGGCTTTGCAGGATATTGAAATGAAAAGTAGTATCAGATATTTTTACCAGAAAACCTTTTAAATTATAGATTGAGCAACTCAATGTGCATTAAAAAGATATAAGCATTCCCAACCTCTGAATATTGAAGTTTACACTTATGCTCATGTCTCACAAAACACCTTTATACAGTGATTTATACACTTAAGAACTTGGAATCATCCTACTCATTGCATTTATCCACCCCCACATAGTGGTGTGAAACTGTTGCAGAACTGGTCACACTTTTTTCTGTAATGATTAGTATTTACTGATAGATGTATAAATGTCAAAACTAGATGCTTGGATTATTACAGTGAAAGTTGTGTATTTCTAGGATTTCAGAAAAGTGCAACATGGAAGATGGGATTTTGGGTTTAAAAAGGAGACTTTCCTGACAGTAAAGGAAAAATTATGACAACAGGTGGTTTTCTTCTCCAAAAGAAACTGAAAGGGCACTTAATGCACAATCCTCCTCCTATTTGTGTTGGAAACGTTAGGACCTGTTGGAAACTTAAGCAATACCTGTTCCAAGTCTGGTTACACAGGAAAGTGTGTGAGGGAATATTTATGATCATTCACTCTGTATTTATGCATATATATATGCACTCACCATGAATTTGCATAGCAAGGTTTTGTTTCACAGATTGAAATGCAACAGAATAAGTTTTTGAGGGCTTTTAGTATTTCTTGCCCCAAAGTCTCTAGCAAAAAACCTAAGTTGTACATTTGGAGTAGTAGGTTTTTTTCCTCCTTATGGGAAACACATTTTTCTTGTTATAGATAGAGGACCTTTTTGTTGTTGTTGTTGTTTTTTATGTATAGCAAAGTCTGATCAGCTGATGAGTTAATCAGCCAATAAAGAAGCCAAATTTATGATGCTCTGTTTGTTTAAGGCAGGAAAACACCCAAACAAGCAACCCCTGCCATTTGCTCTATCACCTACAGTACAAAGAAACAGAAAACTAGAACTGACACACAGTAAGTTGTTCCCTCATTACATTCAGGTTTTGTCCAGAGTGGGTGCACTGGGTGATACCAGAAGAGATCTCAATAGCAAGATCAGCAATAAGGTCCAAAACCAAGCAATGAAAATACAGCCAACTGAGATACTTAGGAAAGATAAATTGCTCTGAGGCTCAAATACTTTATTAGGTGTATACAGGCTTGGATGCATTTTTGCTTGGAGGGTTTCAACAGCTTCATACTCTCTACCTAATTGTTTTTAACAGTAGTTCAAACTTTTCCTTTCTGACCAATAACAAACACCAGTATTAATTTCTGTTGAACTGGTCAAAGATTGTTGACATCCCGATTAGAAAATAAGCAAAGTGGATTTGCTCAAAAGACATTTGAAAGTAATGTTTTGTCCTCCAGACAGCTCCAACTTGAATTTAGAGGACTTCTTCCAATATTTTTACTACGATTGGTGCTTATCTAACACTTTGCAAAGTTATATCCAGAAAAGCTCCAATTCCTTAAGCCCTTAAGGAATAAAGATGAAAACCCAGGTAATTGCTAATGCCAACCAAAGAGCTTTTGCAGCAATCAAATATAGTGTGTTTCCCCTTTAGGAAATAATGTTTCAAAAAATACTGACGTTTAACCACAGAGAAGTTAAAACCTTGAGGCAGGATCTGTCACACACCTTACAATAGCTACAGTGAGAGTGCACACAAGGCACTCTTGTACCAAAAACTGGCTAAGTATAGCAGAGTTACATTGTTAAATGTAATAGTAAGGGTATTATACTCATAGAGAGTCTCCAATTAAAGAAGTCACAAAAACGGGAATCAAGATTTCCATAAGCAAACCCAAGTGTGAACTGCCACACAGCAACACAGCAGTAAAAACACATAGAATCCAGCAGGCTTGGCTTTATCACTTTCTACTTCTAGTAAATAACTTTCTCCCCAGAAGTAAAGCTTCATCTTTGCTATTTTCTGCACAGATGTAGTATATAAAAGCTTTTTTCCAGCTGGAAACAATAAACCTCACCACCTATATCAATCTCTACATGATTTCTGACTGGGTAGTTTGGGGTTTAGACTGCAAAGCTAAGTTACTATTTTCCTCTTCCTTCCTGTTCCTAAATTCTCTCCCATGTTTGATAACACTGGTGACATTTCAGTATGTGCTGGTCTGGTGGCAGCAATCAGTTGGGATAGTGGCTCCCTACCAGGACTGCTGTTATGGGTGACAAAATACTCAGATTGGCAGTTTTACCCGTTTCTTCTCAAGCTTCCTGAAGGCCAAAGCAGTGGCAATAGGACCTGACCAAGCTTTTCACCCACCTTTCCTCTGCTCTTTAATCCTCTGTCCAAATAAAAAAAGGCACTGCTGCCACCCAGTGTAGTCTATTTTCACCCTAGGGTCTCCCTTCATTGAGGAGGGAGAAGTTTAAAAAAGAGCAGCAAAAAGAGCAGTGGTGGCTGTGTCAGCCACTCCACCCACTCCAGATAACCTGAAAAATATAATATGGGTAGTATCTTATATACTGTGAACACAGCACATCGAATTTTTGGCTGAAACCCCAGATGTAAGGGGATATCTGTCAACTCTCTCTGACCCCCCTTGTACTATTCTAGCTTTCCTTATTTACTACCCTTTCCCAGAACCACCTTCAGCATCTCAGAGGGTGGTGAAGAGGAGAAAAGAGAAGCAAAACACCAATACAGTAAGGATGTTGGCTGTGGGACCTTCATTCTTTTCTTAGACAACTTCTTGTTCAAGTTCTGTTTATTTTGAGGCACCTTTTGAAAACTGAAAGAAACTAAAAATGAAAGTACCAGCAGAATTATTTTAACTTAACACCTAAACTATTTGCATAAATAGCTATTTCAAAAAACAAGGGGGGAAAAAAAGGCTAAATGAAATTTAGTAGAGCTTCTACTATGACAAAGAAACCTGGGATATGTTGAGATCAGCCAACAACATGCATGGAGAGTTTGAAACAGATAGCATGAGCTCAGAAGAAAAGGGGTTTTCAGCCAAGAAGTTTTACTATCAACATAAATTTAACAAGTTTACTAAAAGAATAGTGTGCTGAAATTCTCCATAGTATCAGAAAGATTCACTTGAGACCTCCTGCCATGGCTTTAATCACAGGAGAAAAAAGCTTATAGAATGGTAGAATGGTTTGGGTTGGAAGAGACCTCAAAGATCATCTAGTTCCAACCCCTGCCACAGGCAGGGACACTTCCACTAAGACAGGTTTCTCCAAGCCCCATCCAGCCTGGCCTAGAACACTTTCAGAGATGGAGCAGCCACAGCTTCTCTGGGCAACCTGTGCCAGTGCCTCACCACCCTCATAGGATAGGGAAGATGATGTGTATCTAACCTACATTTCCCCTTTAAGTTGGGAAAAAAAAATACAGCTTGTCTAGCTTTTATTTGAAACACAC